CTTTAAACATGGCTTTGAAATCTACCATCTAAATATAGGCCTGTGGTTTCATTGTGAGGTTTGTTGTGCAGCTAAATAAAGGAGACATGAAATTAGTGGTCTGACCACCGTTGACAAGTAATTACCATGTTACTGAGAATGTCACCCTTTCTGGATCTGCATACCACTCTGAACACTTCAATATGGTTTTCATTGCCATTTCTGCAGAAAGAATCATTAAGGCAGTGTGTATGATTCCCTTATCTATACACTGATTCTGAAATTAATGCAAAACCACATTTGTAAATATAAACGGGAAAGGGAAATCTAAAATATCCAGACTCTTTACTGCACTACATGAAGCTGACATGACTTTCATGAAGTCATCTATAAATGGTCAGATGTGTCGTTGCTTAAGCAGTAAAACATCTGTAGGCTTCCTCATTCCACGACATCCCAGTCAGTGGGGTTAAAAATGCTACCATCTCTCTTCCTTCCTTGACATAGGCAACATTCCACTAATCTAACTCCCGTGGCCGACTCATTACTGGGAATTAATTTACTGTTATGTAAAATATTGTCTGGGAGGTAACAAACAAGACAGCATGCTGCATTGTGGAAATCAACAGATATATACAGACACAGACACTTATCCTCCCTCCTCAAGGAAGCAGTACATCATAGATCCTTTGAAATTTACGCTTGCCTGAATTTTGCAATGCAGGTCTTCACCGAAGAAATGTACAGAAATGCTTATACTCAGATGAAGTGTGTGTGAAAGTGCATATGACCACGGCAATAACATAGAAAAATGCATTTGATTCGGGAAAAGCACTTGCAAAAATGTTTATATTTTTCAAAACATACAAAAATATATTTACAGTCGTACCTTGGTTCTAGAACGACTTGCGACACGAACTTTTTGGCTCCTGAATGCCACAAGCCCGGAAGTGAGTGTTCCAGTTTGCGAATGTTTTTTTGGAAGCTGAACATCTGACGCAGTTTCCCCGCTGCTTCCGATTGAGTGCAGGAAGCTCCTGCAGCCAATCGGAAGCTGCACCTTGGTTTTTGAATGTTTATGGAAGTCGACTGGACTTTCGGAACGGATTCTGTTCGAGAACCAAAGTATGGCTGTATTAGGAAAAAATACCACATTAAAATGTTGGCGTATTTTCATGAGGATCTACCAAAAAAAGAAAAGCAAAAAGCAAATTTTTGCAGAAATGGTGTATAGAGGGTTCAGTATGTGGGGGACAGCTTTCTTATGAGCATCCTAGAAAAGCCAAGCAGAAGTGGTTGTAAGAATAAGAACTGCACTAACTGCTTTGAGCTTCTCAGAAACATCTGGTTGGCCATGGTGGGAAGCAGGGAGGCTGGACTCAATCGGCCTTTTGCCTGATCCAGCAAGGCTCTTTTCATGTTCTCCTAATCCATAATCCCTCCTACTTTTCACTTTGTGAGACAAAAAGTCATGCTTTTAGGAGGTGTGTTTCTTGTACATCAAATGTTTTATAATTTAAATGGAAAGCATATTTGTGTTTCATTTTCATTACTTTTCCTTTCTAGAAAAATATTACTCCAGAGTGTAGAAGCAGATCCATGGCTTTAATTAAGTATATGTTTATCATATGTAACATCCCACATTGAATGTCTGTGATAGTCAATAAAAACAATAACATATGGATACTATTATATCCCGAGGTTTGGGTAGATGAACTGTGTTCAAGGCACTCTGCCACTGATCTGTTATCCAGAAATAAAAGCCTTAAGAGGGATGTGGGGGGAATTTCAAATTAAATCTTGGATAGCACGTGGATCACTGGCAGTCGTGAATCCACTGGTTAGTCTGTGGATATAAAAAGCATGATCTTTGGCATACGGAATCAAAAGACTGGTCTGCAGATGGGATATATTTACATCTTCCTTGTTATAAGAGAAAGGTTTTGATGCTAAAACCTCCAAGCAGTACCACATGAGTGGTTTTATGATGCTGAGTCTTGATGCTAATACTGGACTACCACAAGTAGTCCATTGCTATAGTGTCCAGTGGAACTCTGGGACAAAATGCACATCCATTTATGAAGATCCTCCCCAATCATCTCTGTAAGAGGAAGACCCGTGATTAGGGATATGAGAGAAGATTATCAGGAACAGATACAGCTTTTAGGAGCTCATAGTGCTCACCTCAGAGAAGAGTGAGCGGGAGAAGAACATGTCCCATTTAGATTTGCAGTCCTCCAACCCTCTTCCTTCCTCTGAAACCAACAAAGCCCATAGCAGTGATGTGCCCACAGGGAGAGGAATGGGAGAAAGCCATATATTTTCCTCTTTCAGGCTAAGAAGGAGAGCAGGCCAAGAAAAAGGATGTCGGTGACCCCTTCGTAAATGTAGTTTCCAGAGAAAGATGTAAAGATGCTTGTGATAGGAGAACCTTGGCTGTTTGGAGACCTACCTCAAAAGGAGAGGCAACTCTTCCAAACTCTGAGCTTCCTATCCCACTGGGAGCAAGATCTGAGTGTGGGTGGGAATAAAAATCCCATAATAAGGAGGAGCATGTTCCCACATGGGGAACTTTCCAGAAAGGGCTGCATTCCAGTGGTGGGTAGGGCCAGAGAGAAAAGTGGCTGGCGCAATGGAGGAGACTCTTACTTTGGACATTTCAACTACACAAAAACCAGGGTTTTCTATACGTACCTCCCTCCTCCATTCAGGGAAGCAATAGGCGTTCTTGTGGTTCAAGGACATTCTGGTTAGGCCCAAACACTTGAGGAGAGTGTGGATCTGGGGTGTTGAGTAGTGTGACCCTGAGAGGGGTCTGTGGAGAGAGTACTGGGGGTCAGAGAGGGACACCGAGAAGACCACATTCTGCCCCCAAGTCCAAGGTTCCCCCATCCCCATATTGTAGCCTGAAGTTCTCAATGAAGAGTGAACGCCCTCTGATTCACCACAAAAATAAATTTCAAACATGCACAAGCCAACTTCACTGAAAGAAATTCTGGCAGAGTGAAGTATCATGTTAGCTTGTGCCTAATTCCTCTTTGGATGAACTATTATATTCTTTATCTGGATCACCTTTGCTGTGTCGGTTTTCACTTCCCTGTTCTCTAAAGACGCTATGTACCCTACAATCTGAGAACAGGGTGCCATATTTCCTCTGACACCTCACAGAGAAATTAAGTAGATTTGGAGAAACTGATATTTTTTAACTTTAAATGTCCTTGGATTCTAGTACAACTAAAGACTACGGCGGCAAGGGGGACTCACGAGGATCTGGGTATCACTCTCATTTAGAGAGAGAGAGACAAGATCTTACATCACCTTGCTTTTTCTAAACACATATTTAATATATTCCTGTATGCTGTACATGTTATCTCACTTGGAAATCTGAATCGTAATAAAATGTGCGCGGGGGTGGGTGGGTGGTATTTTTATTTTCCATGCAGCCATAGTCAGTCTAGTCACCTTTACTCTTTAGCCAAATATTAGTTTTCAGATAGGAAACCATTCACATTATAGTGATGGTATGTTGCCAGGTGTCAAGGTTTGGCCATGTTTGTCAGCAGTATTATCCAGAAACAGGCCTGCGTTATGTTGCTCCTCTGAGGATGAGCACTAGGCTTTTCGAAACTCATTTCTGCTCCCTTTGCAGTTCCTCCAGCCAGTAACCTCCAAACTGTCTTGAAATGCAACTTGCTGCTGTATTTTAGTGCAGACTCTTCTGCTGTAATGATAAACTATGGTCGGGGGGGGGGACCCATCCTGTTTAACCACCTGTGGCAAAACATGAGGTGCCCTTTCCCACAGAAGCCTCAGTTGCCTATAATAATAATAATTTATTATTTATACCCCGCCCATCTGGCTGAGTTTCCCCAGCCACTCTGGGCGGCTCCCAATCAGTGTTCAAAACAGTACAGCGTTACATATTAAAAACTTCCCTGAACAGGGCTGCCTTAAGATGTCTTCTGAATGTCAGGTAATTATTTATCTCTTTGACATCTGATGGGAGGGCGTTCCACAGGGCGGGCGCCACTACTGAGAAGGCCCTCTGTCTGGTTCCCTGTAGCCTCACTTCTCACAATGAGGGAACCGCCAGAAGGCCCTCAGCGCTGGATCTCAGTGTCCGGGCTGAACGATGGGGGTGGAGACGCTCCTTCAGGTATACAGGACCGAGGCCGTTTAGGGCTTTAAAGGTCACATGGCAGTGGCTTCTTCTGGCAAGATCTCGGAGAACTCTCACGAGATCTCACAGAACTCTCACGAGATCTTGCCAGAAGAGGTCATTGCTGCACAAGTGCTGCCCCGCAGGATTCCACTACCCAAGGCGGCAACATCAGCCCACCTCATGGGTAGGCATGCCTTGACTATAGTTTATAGTAATAATAAGGTGAGCTTTGGGCTAGTGTGCTTCTCCTTCACTCCTCCCCTTATCCTCCTTTTCTTTGCAGATGCTAGCTGCCCACTGTATTGGGAATCCCACCCTCAAAAAAAATGTGTATTTTAGGAGAAAGTTGCAGTTCAATGCTGATGCATTTTCATGAGGATTTTTTAAAATAAAAAGTTGCAAACTGATGTGGAAATGTGGATAACTGAAACTAAGAGTGGGGAAATTGAGAAACCGAGAAACCAAAAGTGACAGATGCAACCACTCCTATTGTTGGGAGGCTACCCTCCAGAGCTGGGTTGGTTCTCAAAGTCTTTGGGCCCCTTCCACATATAAAAGACAGTCAGCATGATGTACTAGTTAGAGTGATGGACTAAGGCCTGGGAGACTAAGATAATAGTCCCCACTCAGCAGCCTTGGCCAATCACTCTCTCTTAGCCTAACCTACCTCACGGGGTGGTTGTGAGGGCAAAATGAGATGGACAACCATGTGTACCATGTGGAGCTCCTTGGAGGAATGGTGGGATATAAATGGAATGAATGAATGAATGACCTGCAGCCTCTCGTCTCCTCTGCTTGATTCTCCAGCCAGCTACTCCCATACACTAGCAGTAACAAAGATGTGTTTTTCCCCTACTAGTTTATTGGAACACAAAATCCTTGAAATGGAAGAAAGACATAAAGGGGAGCTGGATACGTTGAAGGAGGAGAAAGAGAACCTGCAAGGCTTGGTTTCACGTCAGACCTACATCATCCAAGAACTGGAGAGGCAGCTGAGTAAGGCAACCACCAATAACAGTATTCTGCAAAAACAACAGCTGGAGCTCATGGACACCGTTCACAACTTAGTCAGTCTTTGTTCTAAAGAAGGAGGTAAGATGGCATATGCTTGAACAATTAAATCAGGGGTGGTTATGGATTTCTCCCCAGAATGTCTCCAATACAATGACTGCCATCTTATTGAGTCAATTCTGTCCCAGATTTCTATTAGCATGTCATTCTGAGGATAAAACTATATTTTCCAAATACATGCTTAGGCCAGCTTCCTTGAACACATTCAGAATCAAATGACCATTGGGTACTGAATTATGCTCCTTGTGGATTGTAAAGCCATTATCCAATTTAACACCTAAGATTATAATGTAGGCTTTCAGAACCAGTGGCGTAGCGTGGGGGGTGCAGGGGGGGCCGGCCGCACCGGGCGCAACATCTGGGGTTAGGGCAAATCCACAGGTTAGGGGGCGCAAATCCACAGGTTAGGGGGCACAAATCCACGGGTTAGGGGACGCAAATTACTTGCCTTGCCCCGGGTGCTGACAATCCACGCTACGCCACTGTTCAGAACTACTGTAGTATGATTCAGTGGGCTACTAGATGCCCCACCCCTAAGTTCTGCATGTCCCCATCTGACCTCACAGCAGTGTCGTATGAGTAGAACTTAAGCATAGTTAAGTGGGCAAGAGTAAATAAGACAGCTTAAGGAATTGTTGGGAGAGGGATGAGTTCCAAGGCTGGCTTCTAAGCTTAAACACAGCAACCAGACTCCCATTTTTGAGGATTTTGCTAGGTAGCCACCAGGACCAGTCCTACCAATGGACTGAGTGGGACTAGTAAGTGCCAAGAGATTTCCACGGTAAGCTTCATAACACATGCATGATACAAGCATATATTGACATGTTTGTATTAAAGCAGCACTCATGGAAGTTTTTCCCCCAGAACAATCCCTTGAGGGAGCATAACAGTGAGAATCGTGGCTGAGCTGGGACTTGTGTTTGCCTTGGGAAAGGCTGAACTAAACAGAGTGGGGTGTTGAAGGGACCCTGGGTCAACCTGGGTGAGCCAAGTACATGTTCAAAACCCAGGATGACAAGAGTAGCAGATCACTACAGTTCCACATAGCAAAGATGACTGGACACAGGGCTTGCAGAATCATAGACAGATCCCCAGGAGGCATCAGAGTCAACCACTTGTTCACAACAAAGTCCCTACTCATGCAGGGCCTTTATATCTCTCTAGGCCCTGTCAACCTCTCCCGGGTCTCATTTGCTTTCCAACCAGTAGGGATCATTGAAAGGGCAGCCCCCAGACCTGAAATGGAGCACCACCACTTGGTGTGCTCTTTGTGACCTTAGGAAAGTTAGAGGTCTCTGCTGCGGTGGGACATGGTGGATCTACTGTCACTGGGGATCATGGTGACTTGGGTGCAAGTGCAACGGCATCAGAGCTTTTGTCTTTACTAACCTACAAGAAATTTTTGACTCTCATTAGCTGAACTTTGAATGGAACTATACAATCTTAGTAATGAGTAGGATCAACAGTCTTACCAACAAGTGGGATCACAAACCCACGTCTGCGATCACTGTTGAATAGTCGAGCATGCAATCAGGAAAAGTCAGTTTTAGGTTAATATAACAACCATATTTGACAGATATTTGAAAAGCCACAAAGCACTACATCCTTCATTATATCAGCATGTGATTAGAAATGTCAGGAAATGTTGAAATATGCTAGTATCAAGATAAGCATCCTTCGATTAGTAATAGGATTGGTTAATTTACATCGGAACCAGTAAATACTATGTTTTGAATTTCTTATTCATTGTGTCAGATCTTAGATTACTGAGTAAATCAAAATTAATTTTGCTTGACACAGCCTTTTCTCAACATCCTCTGATATATAATATCACATTATTATCAGGGGTTTGAGAATTACTAAACTAGCGTTGGGCAATCTTTGGTTGATCAAAGGAAAGTTCCTGACTCCATATGAGGACAATTCAGAATCTATTCACACCAACACAGGAACACATGAAGTATGACCATTGGTTCGTCTAGGTCAGTACATTGACTGGCAGCACCAGCTTCTGGGAGTTCAGGTGGGGTGCTCTTTACCTGGAGATTGAGCCTAAGACCTTCTGCATGCAAAGCAGATGTTCTGTCATCAAGATACAGCCCTTCCCCATGCATTAGGGAGTATGGTTGTTGTTGTTTAGTCGTGTCTGACTCTTCGTGACCCCATGGACCAGAGCACGCCAGGCACTCCTGTTTTCCACTGCCTCCCGGAGTTTGGTCAAACTCATGTTGGTAGCTTCAAGAACACTGCCCAACCATCTCGTCCTCTGTTGTCCCCTTCTCCTTATTCCCTCAATCTTTCCCAACTCAATGGACAAAAACAACAGGGAGTATGGTAGATGCAAGGAAATGTTACAAGTGCCAGCCTCCAGCCTAGCTTCCTGTGTCCATAAACTCCTACTTGCAATATTCAGCTTTTCACACTTCACCTCAAGGTTTATTATAGCATGAAAAAAGCTGAATCCCAACACTAAGGAAATACTGTGTCAACTTTGAACATGCACATTTCCTAGGTAAAAGGTGGGATTTCAAGGAGTATAAAAATTTCCACAACAACAACAACAGAGTTGGAAATATTGGAAGCTTCCATTCTAAACCAAATAATGCCAAATTGTGAGGGTGATTTTCACTAAGAAGGCAATGTGGGAGGAATAAGTTAACCCCACTCCCCACACACTGCAATTCTGATCCTGATTGGTCCTCCAGCACTGGTGTTGACACACACACGTACACACATTCACTCACAACAGCAATTGTTGCATTGAATATCATATGTAGTTTGGCCTTAAAAGAGAGTATAGTAATTGCAATCTTGCATTGTTGCTGAGTGACAGTCAGCAAGGTTCTATCTACACTCCAGACTTGGTTATCTTGTCTAGCACAAGCTACTGGGAATGCTGAAGTCTTCCTGTGATTAATTATACCCCAACCCATAAATAGGTATAAAACAGACAATCTTCTGCAGCTGAACTGCTCCACTTAGCAAATTAAACATGATAATTAAACATTAATTAGTGCAAATTTAAACATTAAAAAGAACCCTGCCACATCAGACCAAAGGCCGATCTAGTCCACCATCCTGTTTCCCACAGGAGCCAAATAAATGCCTAAAAAACAAAACAAAAGCAGAACATGAATGCAATAACTCTCTCCTACTCTTGCTTCCCAGCAACTGATATCAAAGATCACTATATACCCACAAATGTTTATTTGCATTTATGCTTCAATTCCCAGCCAAAAAAAGGTTCCAAAGTGGCTGTGAAATGAGGGTGTTTTTTTTTTTTTTTAAAGTGCAGGCATAGCACTATTGTGGTTATTAAAACACACAATATACTTTGCTCCCTAGGATCATACTCCAATGTAGTAAAGAGGCCTAACAGCCTACAGTACATGGATGCCTTACTGCTGCTGCCCTTTTCTTCTCAGCCAGAATCATCTCTGTGGAGAGAGTGAATGCCCATTCATTCTAGCATTCCGTCCCCAGGGATGCGACTGGTCCACTTCCAGTTATAGAGCAAATTCAAGGAAGGAGAGTCAAGCTAGGCTCAGCTTTCAATGTAAGCCCTAGATATGAAGCCAGATCATGAAGAGGCTGCCATATACTGAGTCAAACCATTGTTCCTATATCACGCACAATGATTTACAGGTTTAGAGCAGCTCTCCAAGTTTCAGGAAGAAGTCTTTCTTCTGCCGCAAGCAGTGTCCGGGTGGAAAATCTGCTAAATGTTCCTGGAAAATCTGGACGTATGGCAGCTGATGTCGGCAGTGTTGTTTTTGCTGATTTTCCTAAGGAGAAAGCTCAAAATCTCTTTGCTGTTTAGCAGAAATAAGCTCAACAACTTTTTCTGTCCAGGTTTTCACTTATTGAAATATGGCAACCCTACCAGGCATGCTTGGACATCCCAGGGACTGAACCCAGGATCTTTTGCATGCAAAGTAGAAGCATGTCTTCTAGCTTTAGGTTATTATGGTCTTTCATGTTTAACTGTGAATCCTACCGATGTCTGCAGCATGGGTAGCCAATGTGATGCACTTCAGATGTTGTGGATGATTGGCTGTGCTGGCTTGGGCTGATGGGAGTTGCAGTCACCAAATTCTGGAGTGCACCACATTGGCTTTGCTGGTCTCCCAAATTTACTGCTAAGTAAGTGTCTTAAGGGACACAGGTGGTGCTGTGGGTTAAACCACAGAGCCTAGGGCTTGCCGATCAGAAGGTCGGCGGTTCAAATCCCTGCGACGGGGTGAGCTCTCGTTGCTCGGTCCCTGCTCTTCCCAACCTAGCAGTTCGAAAGCACGTCAAAGTGCAAGTAGATAATTGGTACCACTCCAGCGGGAAGGTAAACGGCGTTTCCGTGCGCTGCTCTGGTTCGCCAGAAGCGGCTTGGTCATGCTGGCCACATGACCCGGAAGCTGTACACCGGCTCCCTCGGCCAATAAAGCGAGATGAGCGCCGCAACCCCAGAGTCGGCCACGACTGGACTTAATGGTCAGGGGTCCCTTTACCTTTACCTAAGTGTCTTAAAGAAGTATATCCTAAATCTCTAAATAAATAAATAAATGTCCAGTAGCACCTTAGAGACCAACTAAGTTTGTTCTGAGTATAAGCTTTCATGTGCTTATAAGGTGCTACTGGACATTTTTTTATTTATTTTGACTGCTACCTACCTGAATCTAAATCTCTAAAAGCTGCTTGTTAACTAGTAACCAAAATGATCAAGGGATTGCAGCAACATTTCTAGAGGAGGAAAGGGTTACAGTGTTGAGGGGGGGGGTTCAGTTTAGGGGGGGGAGCAAGTAAGGGAAGATAGAATAGAGGTGCACAAGGGCAGTGACTGGAAGATAATTCTTGGCACGGAAGTCATTTCGTTTGGATACAAGAGAACGTAGTTCCATCCTGGAGTAATTACAAATTGGAACTTTGCCAAGAAGGCAAAGGTTTTCGTTGCTCACACAAAAAAGAGAAAGAAAGAGGAAATGCATCAGTCTTTAAGGAACACAATTGCTTGGCAGCTCAGTTTTCATGCCAGTTTTATTTTGGGGGAAAGGCACCTGTAAGGGAATTATTGTTCCACCACACCATGCTGAGATTCCTGATTTGATTTAAAAACAAAAGGAACTGAGTTATCAAGCTTGTATTTCATTTTCTTCATGTAGTCCTTCTTCACAATAAAACATTCCTGCCATTTTTTCCTATTGTTTAGTAATAAAATCAGAGGCAGAAATTCAACAGATAGAGAATAAGTGTGATTGTAAATGACCCACCTGTTGAACTTCTGTGTGTACTAAACTTTTTTTTAAAAAAAATTATATTTATTTTTTCATAAACAGATAAGTATATATACAGATTTGTAAGGGGAAAAAACTAATAAATATTTAAAATAATAGATGGGGAAGTATGAGGACAATCAATGACTACCCTGCTGGAGAAACAATATTCTGTTGCCATAAATAAAAACTTTCCCCAAGAAATTCGGCAGGTAGAGAATGTGTGTGATTGTAAAAACAAAACAAAACAAAAAAACTCTCTACCTGTTGGATTCCTTCCTGCAAGTGCTTTTTGGTGGTGGTGACTTACAGGAAACAAAACATCTACCATAAAAATAGCAGGATTCTTCCTTGGATAGTGATCACAGCATGCAATTCACTCCAGCTGGAATGATAGAATATGGTGACATCTATTGATCGGATCAGCTGCTGGAATTTGTATTTGGCCTAGGTTACAAAACAACCTGCCAACCTAGCAGTCCGAAAGCACACCAGTGCAAGTAGATAAATAGGTACTGCACCGGCGGGAAGGTAAACGGTGTTTTCGTGCGCTGCTCTGATTTCGCCAGAAACAGCTTAGTCTTGCTGGCTACATGACCCGGAAAAAGTGTTTGTGGACATACGCCAGCTCCCTTGGCCAATAAAGGGAGATGAGCGCCACAAGCCCAGAGTCGTCCGCAACTGGACCTAACGGTCAGGGGTCCCTTTACCTTTACAAAACAATTCTTTTAGCTAAAGTTCTTCTAGGTAAAGTTCAATATGCTGACTTTATTTTTTAAGGCCTGGGACCGGCATAACACAGGGAGCTTCTCATAGAAGCTTTCTTGCTCAGCAAGACTGGGGCTGTTCTGGGTTCTGCCTTTTCTCTTTATCAGAGCTTCAAGGCAACTGGCAAGCCTTTATAGCCTTAGCCGTTATTTAGTGGAATTTGCTTCCCAGAGGAAGATAAAATCTTTTTTATCTCAGCAATCTTTCAGCAACCCAGACTGATGATAACATTTGAATGAAGCCAACAGCACCCTATTTTATTGTTCCGATTTCTCATTCTATTTTCCCACTGTTTGACTTCTAAGCTGCCTTGATTTTTCTTTCAAGATAAACAGCCTAAAACAATAAACTCTGGGCCTCATCCATCGGGCTGTGCTAGGAACTCAAAAGAAAAGTGAGGTGAAGAAGGCAGCAAATGGATGTTTTCCTTGATAATAAAAGGGAGAGAGTATGTGCTAATCTGGCAATGTAACAGTAGCTCTGTTGCCTTTTCCCTCTCTAAGTGTAACAAAAGACGTTAAGATTCCTCCGTAAAACTTTTACTGCTGCTACTGTTTAACATTTATATAGTGCCAACAGATTGTGAGTCACAAATCCTGCCATTAATAGGTAATGTGAGTTTTATGTATCGTAGCATAACTTAAACATAGGGCTTCCACCTTCGTTCGTCAGCAGATATTGTGTGCTTCAGATAGGCATGTTGGCAGGATAGAGAAGCTTCCTCCATCAAACCTGTAGCTGTTTATTTCTATCTATTAATTTACTGCATGGGTAGGCAAACTAAGGCCCAGGGGCCAGATCCGGCCCAGTCGCCTTCTAAATCCGGCCTGTAGACAGTCTGGGAATCAGTGTGTTTTTACATGAATAGAATGTGTGCTTTTATTTAAAATGCATCTCTGGGTTATTTGTGGGGCATAGGAATTCGTTCTTCTTCTTCTTTTCAAAACATAGTCTGGCCCTCCAGAAGGTCTGAGGGACAGTGGACCGGCCCCCAGCTGAAAAAGTTTGCTGACCCCTGATTTACTGTATCATTTGTGGAGAGGTCTATACCTTGCTGAAGACCTTCTCAGTAACAGCAGCAGCAGCAACAACAACAACAACAGCAGCAACAATAATTTATTGCTTATACCCCACCCATCTGGCTAGGCCTCCCCAGCCACTCTGAGCAGCTCCCAACAGAATATTAAAAACATGATGAAACATAAGACATTAAAAACTTCCCTAAACAGGGTTGCTTTCAGATGTCTTCTAAAAGTCAGGTAGTTGTTTATTTCCTTGACATCCAATGGGAGGGCATTCCACAGGGCGGGTGCCACTACCGAGAAGGCCCTCTGCTTGGTTCCCTGTAACCTCTCTTCTCACAGTGAGGGAACCACCAGAAGGCCCTAGGAGTAGCAGGGTTATCATCCTCACTTCCCCATGAGGTCCAGGTAGCATCAACACTCCCCATCTCTTTAGGCACCAGGTGAAGACTTGCCTCTTTCTGCAGGGCTTATCACTGGAGTCTCAAGTGGCTTTTGTGGCTATGAATGCTTCTGCCCAGTGTAGGCTAATTCACCAACTGCAGCTGTTCTTGGGCTGGATCTACACTGAGCTCTTGAACATTATTTCCCCCTATTGGAACGCTATTAGATATGTTGTCCTAAAATGTCACAGGGCATACTTGTTAATCAAAAACATTTTTTAACCTTTGGTTTTCCCCCCATCAAATGTAAGTAATACCTGGCCATGCTGGTTGCTGTGCTCTGCCATCTGGTCTCATATTTTAATTCTTCCTCTCTCCCTCCATGTCCTTTGTTATCTGCCCCTTGAATACCATGGGAGGGGGGTCAGAGTTTGAATGCAGTAAAAAAACCAGACAAAACACTACCTAGGGACATATGACCAGTGTTGCACTGATATAACAGCATAAAACAATTAAAAATTAAGTGATAAAAAAGACAAGGTAATAACGTTTTATGAACATAAAAGTAGGATACCATGTGTCCATCTACATTATCAACAGCATCCCTTAACCCATCCTTAATGTTAAAAACCACGAGTGTGGATCTGCCCTTTGACCAGGATAACCTAGACTCAGTTGCTCAGGCTGTGGTATCACTCTGCTTGTCACTGAATTAAATGCCTCTAATTTTTGTATATTATATTGATCTATTTATGAAAGTATTTTTATGTCACCACATTGTAAAAATATTAGAGCAACCATTAACAAAAAATACACCATTAGAAATAACACTGCAATGCGGCTGTTACTGCTGATGTCAACACCATATTCGTTTTCTGTTTTTCAGTTGTACTAAAGAGTACAAAAAGAGAAGATGACAGGCCATTCAGAGACTGTGCTGATGCATACCAAGCTGGCTTCAACAAAAGTGGTGTCTACACTATTTATGTTAATAACATATCAGAACCTAAAAAGGTAAATAATTTTTGTGGGTTGTTTTTTTTTAAAAAAACTGTTTCATTAGATACTCTTCAGAGCTCAAGAGTTGGCCTTTTGCAGTCTGGGTATCATATCTTTAAATTCTAATGTTCAGAGATGTGATGCATCCCTGGCCCCTCTCCTCAGTTTCTGCAGGAAGGGATTTTAAAGCAGGTGTCTGCTTAACAGGGATTTTGAAATTTTGCAGTAATAAGGTAAGTTGCAATATTGTGCCGAAGAAGAAGAAGAAGAAGAAGGAGAGGAGGAGGAGGAGGAGGAGGAGGAGGAGGAGGAGGAGTTTTGATTTGATATCCCGCTTTATCACTACCCTAGGGAGTCTCAAAGCGGCTAACAATCTCCTTTCCCTTCCTCCCCCACAACAAACACTCTGTGAGGTGAGTGGGGCTGAGAGACTTCAAAGAAGTGTGACTAGCCCAAGGTCACCCAGCAGCTGCATGTGGAGGAGCAGAGACATGAACCCAGTTCACCAGATTACAAGTCTACCCCTCCTAACCACTACACCACACTGGTCCTCTGATCCTCATGATCCTCTAAATACAAAGATGTCTAAAGAAACTAGCAAGAAAAAGCAATGCTTGGAGCAGTGCTAGATAGTTTCAAAATGCGTGTCCCATCAGTGATCCATTTCACTGGTATCTCCAGTTACCAGAGGGAGAGAAGAAAGAGTCCTGGGTGCAGTCACCTATGTACCACAATGACTTCTTCTGACCAGTCCATCATTAGGGATGTAAGAAGGCATCCTTTTTCATCCTGCCATACATTAGTCACATGTGGCATTGTTTCCATTCAGCTACTGTTCACCTTCGGTCAAAGATAACGTCATTTGTGTTGCTTTACCCATCATAGTCACTGGATTTATTCTTTACCAGACATGGGACAGAAAAGGAAGATGACATTTCCCACTCCTGTTTCCATTTTTGATGGAATTCTTTCAGCTGACATATGACTGGAACTGGCAGCATCTGAAATAAAGTTGAGAGCTATGGTATATTTTAATCCTAAAACAACAACAAAAGCACACGCTTCCATAGGGTTGTTGTAAATTTGATACATCTCTTATCAGTTTAGGGAGTTTTATATTCCATCCACTATCAAGCAAATAAAATAAAAAAAGCAGAGCAATTCAAGTTCTTATTTCGTGTGTGTATTCAGGTTTCGACCTCAAAACATGTTAAAGGTGTTTAATAGCTGAGTGCCTTGACCTTGTCTGGGACATGAGCCAGTTGAGGACATTTGTTGGCTCAGATAGTGGTAAGCTAACATTTATAATCAGCCTGCCATTCCTGTTAATGTGGCAGGTGTTCCCTTCCATTGCTATGGAGTGGACCAGACCACACAGTGAATAATTTAGTGCTGCAAATCCCTCTGTCATTGTCTGATTCCTCGTTTTTAATTTGCTACATTACTCAGAACAGTAAAACTCCCTAACCTGTTTAGGAATGGATTTTTTAAATAAAATTTAAAAAAAATACACTTCAAGAAGTTTCCTGTATGTGTGGGTGTGCTTATATATCTCCCCCAGCCGTGCCCTGCCCCCAGCTGCCACATGGAAACATAAGCCTACAGACTGGTGTATGAGGATTTAATGTGCAAAAAAAGTAGCCACTGTGTTTCTGGGAGCTTGATGCGAGTGTTAAATAAGATACATGAATTGCTTTAAAAAGGCGGTTATAAATCAAAGACCAATGAAGCCGCATGGTGCAGATAAATGTTTGCACTCAAATGTCATTGTGGGAGGAAGCAGAGAGCCAAATTGTTTTTCTCCAAGCAAAAGCACTTCTTTAGAATTTTTTTTCTTTTTTTGATCTTACCTCCTCAAATAAGGCTTCCATTTGGTGGCAGGGGGTGGGGGACATTGTACAATCCCCTTCCTCTGACACAAAATGTGGGGTTCTTGGCTGCATAAAGCAGACTGGAAGTTCATTCAGTAGTGGGAACCGCATAACACCAGAATGGACAATACCCCTTGGAGTGAAAGGCATGGAATTGATTCAGCTAAGGATAAAATAGCATCCTTTGGACAATTATGAAGGAAACGGTTGAAAGGAATTGGGTAGTGACCCCCATGTGATCAGGCCATGTACAGCGTTATGTTACCAGCTAGTGTCATGAGGTCCGCTTCCTTCTATGTTCCTGCGTGAGAATGCGGAGACCTGCACTGAATTCATAACAACTTTTGTTAAAATCATGCTCTAAACACCAGCGGAGCATGTAGCTTTGCTAAGAGATCACATTGAGAGGAACTCTGAAATACTTTCAACCATTCTGGAGCATGTGCATCTGAGTAGGAACATATTTAAGGAAATTGCTTCAAGTAAGAAGACTGAGCAAAACCTGAAAATCAGGGTTTTTCATTCCCCCCCCCCTCCTGGGAAAGGGAAAGGGCTGAGAATATTTTGACTAACTTGTTTCCTAAATACATGGCCGTGTAAGCTATACAATCAGTGAAAGCTCCTTTTGGCATAGGAATGCATCTATATATATATATATATATATGCAGGTTTTGGTGTCCTCGGGTGTCTTCCCGTGTAAAAGTTGGGGTGTCTAGGCGACGTTTCGACGAGGTCTCACTCGTCATCTTCAGGCTGGTGCTTTCGGCTTCTTGTTACTGGAACAGAGCAGGATCTTCTTTTGTTCCTTAATTACTTGAGGGAGAAGAAAAGGCACACTAGCCTGGGAACTTCCTCTCTACCCAGAACATTGGAGGCTATACACCACACCCCCTCAACAGTATTTATAGGAACTCAAACACTGAGATCCTGCTCTGTTCCAGTAACAAGAAGCCGAAAGCACCAGCCTGAAGATGACGAGTGAGACCTCGTCGAAACGTCGCCTAGACACCCCAACTTTTACACGGGAAGACACCCGAGGACACCAAAACCTGCATTCCTGTACCCGTGAAAATCTACAAAAGCATATATATATATATATATATATATATATATATCGTGTTTTTCGCCCCATAGGATGCACCGCCCTATAGGACGCACCTAGGTTTTTTGGGGGGAAATTTATTTTTTTTCCCCCAGGCATGGGGCTGGCGTGGGGGAAGCCCGAGCTTCCCCCGACCCCAGCCCCCAGAACAGCCTGCTATCCGCAAGCCTAGGGAGCCTCGCTGGTCTCCCCAGGCTTGCGGACAGCTGTGCGAAGCCCGGGCGCACTAAAGAGCGCACCCGAGGCTTTGGAATGCAGAGCTGCGCGGACCCTGGGAGGGCAGGCAGCTCTGTGTGACCCTCCGGAGGCCGGCGCGGCTTGGCGCCGGGCTCTGAAGAGTCGCGCAGAGCTGCGCAGAGCCCGGGAGGGCAGGCAGCTCTGCGCGACCTTCCGGAGGCCGGCGCGGCTTCAAGCTGGGCTCTGGAGGGTTGTGCAGAGCTTCCTGAAGCCTGGAGAGTGAGAGCCTCTCACTCTCCAGTCTTCAGCGAAAGCCTGTATTCGCCCCATAGGACGCACCCACATTTCCCCTTCATTTTTGGAGGGGAAAAAGTGCGTCCTATAGGGCGAAAAATATGGTATATGGCCCAGCATCTCACATAAAAGATGTGCAGTATAAAGCGCACAGTGGTGTGGATCCTTCGTGCCATTTGCATGCACCTGCAGGAACATGGAAGCCACTGCCCAACCCTTCCCACACATGGCCAACGGTGGTTGTGTGGGTCTCTTCCACCTAACTGTTACACTCTCTCAGCTGAGACTAGAAATAATTGTGCTATAGATCCCATCCATGTGGATGTTTCAACTGGACAGATATCAAAGCTGTGTTAGATAGCGCCTGAGGGAAACAGCTCTGAGAGAGCTGCTGGTGTGTGGAAAGGGGGGCTTACTTACATACCAATGTGTGTGGGCAGAGGTATATTTCGCACAGTACGAGTGGTGCAGCGCCTTCTCAGAGTGTGGTAAGTGCTTGCCTGTCTTCTGAGGGCTCTGACAGGGTCAGATGATAGTGTACTCAAACTATTTTGAAGGTTTGTTTCCCCTCTCCCAGGCTTAGCTTGTGGCTCCACTGCTAGTGGAGTTTGGATCTGGTGTAACTTATGCCAGCTTGCTTTGTGCCAGCTTCTTGTGCATACGATTGCTCCCTGGGTCACTGAGATTGAGAAATCCACCCTCCATGTTCAGTAACCCTCTTCCCCCCCCTTTTTTTAAGAATCTAGGCATTAAAAAAACATGGGTTACTATCTAATTTGCTATTTCACAAAGCTTTCTGAAGACTCAGATTGGCCACTGCAGGAGGCAGGAAGCTGACCTGGATCTATCAAGGGCCCAGATCCGCACAGTGAACCTCACGAGTGTATCTTCTTATGCCTAGGTTTTTTGTAACATGGAGACTGCAGGAGGAGGCTGGACAGTCATACAACACAGAGAAGATGGGAGCCTAGATTTCCAAAAAAGCTGGAAAGAATACAAGATGGTAAGCTGGGGGGAGTTACTTACAGGAATTCTATCCCTAGAATCCATGGGGATATTGCTATAAAATCATTATTATTTTGAAGCGGACACTGTGTTAAGACCTTGTGCTGGGAATGTGGCCTTTAAACAGGAAAGCCAGAAGAACCATGTGACTCAAGTCTCATATAGCCATCTAAAGACCCCTTTCTTGATTTGATTTAACATGAATCATACTTCTTAGAGCTTCTCTGCTCAGAAACTCCCCATGCCTCACAGATTTTGGGATGTATCTGTTGCCTTTGTCTATGCTTTCCATTCCTCACCCCAAGAGGATGTGTCACATTCAGCATGAATAATAAAAGTAACCTTGGGTGAGCTCCAAACTCCCTTGTGAACAAGGGGAAAGGACTTCTGCTCAAGAATGGGAGCTTCTCATGTAGTGAGGGAGATTTGTCTCTGAAAGGAAACACGGGGAAATGACTAGTATTTTAAAGGAGAAAGCTGGTTTGGATCACAGTCACTGTTCTGAGGAAAACTACTATACTAGATATTTTGCCCTAGATCAGGGTTTCCCAAACTTGGGTCTCCAGCTGTTTCTGGACTACAACTCCCATCATCCCTAGCTAGCAGAACCAGTGGTCAGGGATGGTGGGAATTGTAGTCCAAAAACAGCTGGAGACCCAAGTTTGGGAAAACCTGCCCTAGATTATTCATTTACAAATTATGTATTAAATTTGAGGTGGGGGAACAACAGATGTTAGGGCTGTGGAGAAACTCATTGCTGGGATGCCCTCAGATGGAGGTGCTGTTTGAACTTGTGTCACCACATAAGTGTTCTTGTCCAAGTGGGTAGTAACTGCAGCCCATTGAATGTTCCAGTCCAACCTGAAGGGAGCAGACCCATAAGCAGTTCACATTCGTGGGAAGAGTATATGTTGAAGGCAAGAGTTCAGGGTCAAGGTAGAACCATGGAGAGCTCCAAGAGCAGCTCAGGCTGTAGACAGACTGACAGGAGCAGGCTCAAATGTTGCTTCAGCACCAGGCACTCTTAGACTGAGACTAAAATGGGGCTGTTGCTCAGTCCAGCTGGCTTCCTCTGCCTCTGGTAGGTAAATGGACTTGGTCTGCTTTAGCAGCCATTGGCTCCACTATCACTGATGAGACTGAGGCTATGGTGTGGTTTCTCAGAATGAATCATCAGACTCTGAGGACATCTGCATTCCTTCTGCTAGCTGTGCAATTGTGGCATGAAGGGAAGTAGGTTTGTCTGGATTCAGTGCTGAAAGTGTTTTCCTCTTCCATTTAAGGACGGGCAGACCCGCCTAAGTCCATTCTATGTCAGTTTCACTGGTGTTCTCAATTATAGATCTGATACGTCCTATTTTTTTCAGGCTTTCCAAAATTAACAGAAACAAAATTCACATGTAAATTGTATGAACTTTGAATTCATTTACCCATACAATATGCATTTTCAATACATTCCTTTTCATCCTAACATACACATTTTGTGTGCTTACTAATGTTTTTAAAATGTGCACCTTTTGAGACCACTATTTCAGAGCAAAATCCAAAGAAGTGGATAATCCAACTAATAGTTGTGTTCTACTGTGCAAGAAAACTCAGAAATGCTGAATTGAGTTGGTCTTCTTCTTCTTTTTTAAGGACACAATGAATTTCTACACCACCCTTATTTGTATTCAGTCACATCCTCTGAACTCCTGTTCTGAAGTCAGTAGATGGTGGTAGCTAACACTGATTTGGGCTTTCCTGTTCTGCATTTACCATAATCCCAGAGATAAAGGGACGACTATTTAAATAGTTGGGTTTTTTGTTCCATTACGAAAGTATTTGTATATTGCCATTTGTATACTATAACATCAGGGTGGTGTACAAAAATAATTCACAATATATCAGTACAAAACAGTACAAAACAATCATTAAAATGACTGACCTGGGGGGTGGATTAAACAACTGCATAGGCTGTCAGCATTATTTTAAAAAGAGAGAGAGAGATGCCTGAAAGTCAAAACTGATGATGCTTGCTAAACCTCTGCTGGAAGATTGTTCCACAGCATGGGGCTACTGTCACTAAATGCCCAAATGTAATTGAAGCCTGTTGGGTTTCTGGAACACAAGGAACAACTTGACAGCACTTCTCCATATGATCTTGTGACAAATGAAATTAGCTGTCCTTGTGCCCTCCAGAGGGTGCCAGGGTATAGAGAAGTTTCAAGACTTTCTGAAGGATGCCAGGGTACACCACAAGGCTAAAACTAGAAAACATCATGTCAAGCAGCTTATTAAATTAGGAAGAAATTGTTCCTGATTAAATATTTTCCTCTTTTTTTTTCAAATGAGGTGTTGACTACATTTTTAAAAGCTTTGTGTTTTCAGAGTTAGTCATGGCTGCTTCACTGTTTCCATTCTTCTCTCACTACTAATGATTTTTTTTTTTAGTGGGAAAACCACTTTTACATGCATTTGTCAAACAAAAAACATTTGGCTTAGTTTGAAGGGTATGTTTTTGATCAAAATAAATATTCTGCATTTTTAAACTACTCATGCTATTGATTTTACGGTTCTTTGTTAATTTAAATACAGCTACTTTAGATTATTTCAGTTCCTTGTTTCTGGCATGTGGTATACTTAACCAGGATAAGGATGTGCATTATATTCAGATGAGTTCCGAATCATAGCAGGGTTACTTTGGTGGGATTGAGGATTTCTAGAGGTGAAGGCAGATCTCTGTGAGGTGGTATGAATTGACCAGGGATCCCTGAAACACTTTGTGGTGCCTCAGCAATCTAGACATTAAAGGGGGGAAATGCTGCAAACAGGCATCTTCTGAAAGCAAAATTAAATGCCTATAAGCCTACAATATACAAGAAAGGCCAGGGTGGATTATGAGAAATTGGAGAGTAGTGGCTCAGTTATCAAGAGGCCAGGTATGTGCCACTGCTTGACCAAACTGTCTGCAGCTGGGTGAAAGGAGAAGGTTGAGTGGTATGGATGGACAAGATCAGAGGAAGAAACTTGCTGTGCCAAAAATCATGTAACCAGAAGCTGAGACACTTCCGCCCCACGCAGTTCAGCAAACCTATTAGATAAAACCACAAGCCACCACATACATTCTTGTTTAATTAATTTATAGTCATTTCTCAGCTACTGAACAAAAAGCTGATTACACTTTCTTTGCCTGAGCTTGTGGTAAAAAGAATCCGCTATCCTCCCTTTGTGAATGTTACTGGATAACATCTGTTTGAGGAATTGTGTTGACGTGCGGCTATATATCTGCTTGGTTCAGCTGAATACAGCATTTCTAGGGATGCTGTAATAAATGCTACCCATGTATTATTCAAATAATACCCATATGGCAGCCTTCCCTAGTCAGAAAGGACAAGGAGAGTTCAGCTCTAGCAAAAAGAGTTGTTTCATAACACATAGCGCTTGGCTGCATTGTATATAAATTCTGTTGGGGAAATTAAAGCTGCCTTCAGAAGATTTGCTCATGCAATGCAGAAGGGTGTCCCACTTAGCCTTGACCCAGACATCACATATTCCTGCTTCGCCATACCACACAAACATCTAAAGTGCAGAACCCTGAAATATCAGGTTCCCAGATGTGTGGATGCAAAGGAAAAATGGAAGTAGGGTGAAGCAAAAATCTACTAACACTCACCATCCAAACAGGAGAGGGAAAACTGCAAAGGAAGGCCTCCCTCCCCTATTCCGGGCAGCCTATCCAGGAGGATACTATGACTGATGGCGTCAAAAGCCTTCAAGAGAATCAGCAGTGTTGAACTCTCTCACTCCTCTCTTGGCAAAAGTAATCTCACAGGGTGACTAAGGCAGTTTCAGTTCCAAAATCAGGCCTAAAGCCCCACTGAAATGGATCTGGAAAATCCCATTTCATTCCAGAGAACCTGGAGCTAGTTAATGACCATTCACTGAAACACAAAATAGGAGGTCAAAGCACGAAGGATTCCCAATCAGCCTCCTACCTAAGTACTAGCCCAGGCATAGAAGAAGAAGAAGAGTTTGGATTTGACATCCCGGTTTATCACTACCCAAAGAAGTCTCAAAGCAGCTAACATTCTCCTTTCCCTTCCTCCCCCACAACAAACACTCTGTGAGGTGAGTGGGGCTGAGAGACTTCAAAGAAGTCTGACTAGCCCAAGGTCACCCAGCAGTTGCATGTGGAGGAGCGGGGAAGTGAACCCGGTTGAGCAGTTTATGAGTCTACCACTCTTAACTACTACACCATACTGGCTCACCATTCATCCCTGACCACTGGTCCCCTTAGCTAGGGATCATGGGAGTTGTAAGCCAAAAACATATGGAGGGCCAAGTTTACCTATGCCTCTACAAGCCAGGCTCAACCCTACTTAATTTCTAAGATAAAATGGGATTGGGTTATTTCAAATGGGATTGTGGCAAGATGAGACCCCTGCTCTGGTTCTCAAACAGGTCTCCTCATGCCTTATCTTCCTGGGTGAGAGTAGAGAAAAACCATGGCTGCTTTGCGGTTTTCTGAGATTTGGCTCTGGTGGGTGAGCTAGAAGACAGGCAGTGAGTCTTCTGCAGGCACATGGAGGAAGCATGAGGATGCACACCATTCATAGCCAAACTATGGAATTTATTACTAGAAGATATAGTGATGGCTGTGAAGGAAACGAGCTGCTTAAAAAGAAATAGAAATATTGTATATAGTTTGGTTTGGGAATCAAGGGGTTAATTTGCTATCTTTCTCAGGTAAGGCTCTCAGGAGGTTTTAGGAAATAATGAGGTAAGGTGTGGATTCTGGGTGGGCCAGTCTACAAACGGGATTCAGACAAAAGTGCACTTCTTTGATGTTTGTGTCTGTTTGTAGTTTGGGATATGCAAAGGTATATTTAGCCAGCTACTTGCAATGATTGTCAGACTGGCACGGATCTCTAGAACAATAAATCATGTAGGTGTTGGAAGATGACAAGCCAGAGGGAGCTGCAAACTGCCAATAAGGTTTCCAGGACTTTTATCTTTAAGGCCTTAACTCTCAGCTGTTGGGATGAGTTCAACCTGCTTTTGTTTTCTGTACTTTGCTCCTCTTGTGGGATTGATTCTGTCTATTATAAAACTAATGAATCTTAAGCATCAGGGCCCCTGATCCCAGAGGGGGCCCAGAAGTGACCTTAGCCAACATTGCTTTAAAAAAAAATGGGTCTAGTAGATGTGATATGAGTCACACAACTCAAATTGATCAATTTTGTGTTACTCAAAGTTTGAGAGTCAGTAGCACAGGTGTTGTAAAGGTTTGGTAATCTGTCACGGAACAACCCCATTGAAGAAGATAACAGTGGTTACACAGACCTCTTTGCTGGTTACAAAGGGGCCCCCATGACCATTCAAGATTCAGACCCCCGAAATATAGGTCCACCACTGATTGTGTGCATGTAACTATTCATATGTGAAAACATTTTATCCTAAGAACAACCTTTCTATTTATCCTTTTCATTAGCTTTTAATCTTGGTTCATGAAACCTTGTGGTCTCTACCCACCCACCCTTAACAACCAAACCCCACAGTGTTCTTGGGGGAGTTTGTAGCTTTTTGGTGCAGGCAGCCTGGTGAAACGAAGACTTTGACGTTGTGGTAGCGAAACATTAATCATAAGGGACGGCAAACAGAGGCAAACACTCTGGTTGGCCTGATCTCCCTTCCTCTGCTTAACCAAAGTGTGGATGGGGGTATTATGACAGATGTCCGCAACCTGAATGACTTTAAAAGGGCACTGGACAAATTCACGGGGTTATCAATGGTTGCTAGCTTTGATTGCTATTCTTTCAATTTTGACTTTGTTGTTGATTCCCCCCTCGCAAAACGTTATACATGCAGTGGTACAGTGGTACCTCGGGTTACATACGCTTCAGGTTACAGACGCTTCAGGTTACAGATTCCGCTAACCCAGAAATAGTACCTCGGGTTAAGATCTTTGCTTCAGGATGAGAAAATCGTGCTCCGGTGGCGCGGCAGCAGCAGGAGGCCCCATTAGCTAAGTGGTGCTTCAGGTTAAGAACAGTTTCAGGTTAAGAACAGACCTCCGGAACGAATTAATTACTTAACCCGAGGTACCACTGTATTGTTTATGGTGCGTGTGTGTGGTTTTTTGTTACTGCCTTGTGAGAAATATCTAAAAAGTGGAGTATGCATCAAAAAAAGAAATTGTGCACAGTAATAAAATTATTGCCAGAAATGTTCAAAGACTGCTGCGTATTCCCATGTAAAGCTTGAGAATCTCCCTGATTATTCTTTATAGTCCCTGGAAAGGCATGCTTGCTGAGATTGGGGGGGGGGGCCTTACCTGACATATTAACTGCTTTCTTCAGTGCGCTATCTGACAAGAGATGAACCCATAGGCTATACTGTCTGTGTCTGGTTTCAATTTGGAGGGAGTGCCTACAAAAAACACCAAAGCTTCCTATGAACATTTTCAGACAAAATAAACAACGCAAGAGAGAAAATGGTTTAATGACACTGAAGGAACACGATTCAAATAGGATACCCTTATGAAATTTGCCAAAAGTAATAAATCCCTTTTGCACCATCCATGGGATTTCCCCCTGCCCCCTTGTTAACATCGAGTCTGCAAATTCTGAGTGGCTCTATTAAGAGTCATGCAAGAGCCTTGCAGTCGCTTTCAAAACTCACACAGACTCCCTGACCCTTTTTGTTATTTCAGCTCCGCTAATTGCAGCACAATTAACGGGTAATGTAGACTGGCCTTCGGTGGTTCTTGCTAAGTAGCTGAAACATTCTAAAATGCCATTTGTCTCCAGTTCCCTTTGTTATATATCCCTCTGATCAGACCGTCATTGAAGTAAAGTTTTAACAATTGACTATTGTTATTGGACACGACTGGTTTCATGTAGCCATATCAGTTCGCACCAACACAAATGGTGGTCTTTATAACTGCAGGCTCATCACATTTGCCCTGTGATGTCCAGGCACAGGACTGAGAGGTTTTAGGTTTTTCCGTCTACTTCCCCCAGGAAAACCTGCTGTTTACTGCTGAATCGGAACAAATGTCAAGCAGGTTTTCTGCAGATTGACATTTGTTCCAATTCAGCAGTAAACTGTGGGTTTTCCTGGGCAACAATAAAAACAGGACAAAAGAAAAACCGCCCAGACTTGTGCCTGGAAATCACAGGGGGGAAATGGAAGGAACCATGGGACAAAGGAAAGTAGGCTTCTTATGCCTAGCACGCTGGGCAGAGCCAAGGAAAACATCCTCCCCTCTGCAATAAGGAGAGCCGAGTGATGCATAATGTCCTTAGACCATTAGGGAGCAAAGCCCTCTAAAGTGACGTCCAACAGAGCTGTCCAGGTTCATGTCTTTTCTTCTAGTGCATTCAGCACCAATGCTTGCTGCTTTGCCAGTTCAGCTGCACAACCAGGCAGACAATGCCAATGGCTCTATGGGAAACTCCAGGTGTCCTAAGGGATAAAGGCATCCCACTTAAATGACAGTCTGCCATTTTAAAACATACCACAAGGGCAATTAGCTGTGTCCCAAATCAATGTTGCCTTTGCTTGCCAGGTTGTTTATTTTATTTCAAGGTCAGCAGGAGCTTAAATATTGCAAATTTGACTGTGTGTGCACACACACATGTGTGTGTGAGTGTAGAGGGCTGCTGGATGTCCCAACCAGGCCAAAATCATGAATAAAAACAACATTATGTAGTAATTTCAAGAGCCTTATCAAGTGGGCAAAAATATGTGACTTAATTATAACAGGCATTTCTAGATATGGTAATCCTTTGGGCCTGCCATTATGTTTTGGTAGTAGCGGTGCTGTTTTTATTTTATGACACTTTTCTACATAGATGTTCCTAATGTGGCTCACAACAAAAGTGTAGAACCTATCGGTTTGGAAAACACATGCTGTCTTCTTTCTGTTTTTCAAAAGGTCTTTCCTTTTCAATATCATCTATTAGTAGACATCTATTTTAGCAGCTGGGACACAGGTGGTGCTGTGGGTTAAACCACAGAGCCTAGGGCTTGCAGATCAGAAGGTCGGCGGTTCAAATCCCTGCGACGGGGTGAGCTCCCATTGCTTGGTCCCTGCTCCTGCTAACCTAGCAGTTCAAAAGCACGCAGTAAAGGTAAAGGTACCCCTGCCCGTACGGGCCAGTCGTGACCGACTCTAGGGTTGTGCGCTCATCTCACTTAAGAGGCTGGGAGCCGGCGCCGTCCAAAGACACTTCCGGGTCACGTGGCCAGCATGACGAAGCTGCACTGGCAAGCCAGCACCAGTGCCACACACGGAAATGCCGTTTACCTTCCCGCTATAAAGCGGTACCTATTTATCTACTTGCACTTAGGGGTGCTTTCGAACTGCTAGGTGGGCAGGAGCTGGGACCTAACGACGGGAGATCACCCCACCGTGGGGATTCGAACCGCCGACCTTGCGATCAGCAAGTCCTAGGCACTGAGGTTTTACCCACAGCGCCACCCGCGTCCCACGCAGTGTAAGTAGATAAATAGGTACCACTCCAGTGGGAAGGTAAACAGCGTTTCCATGCGCTGCTCTGGTTCACCAGAAAGTGGCTTAGTCATGCTGGCCACATGACCCAGGAGCTGTACGCCGGCTCCTTCGACCAGTAAAATGAGATGAGCGCCACAACCCCAGAGTCACCTGCGACTGGACCTAACAGTCAGGGGTCCCTTTACCTTTATTTTAGCAGCTAATGCTGTCCATCTCACCCATTCTCTCCTGTGAATTTTTTACCATCCTTTTTTGCATTTTCTAGACAACATGAGTTGCATTCAAACTAGTATTATTATTCCTTTAATTTTATAATAAATTCATTTTAAAATCCTAGCGCAATTAATAGCATTAAAGCCATAAAACCAACTCTTTAATAAAATTTCACATGCAAAGGAAGGTATACTGTGCACTCGTTCCATGAGTACAAGAATTTATGCCTGTGCAATGGGATTCCCACTCCTCCTGCCACTGCAGATGCCCTGTATCCTTCTCAATTTGATCCAGAGGGTTGGGGAGAATTCCAGAGCAAATTTAGGGGGTACAGGAGAAGGAGAGGGTGGAAGTTCCATTGCATAAGCAGAAATCTTTGTGCTAACAGAACGGGTTGCCTAGCACTACATTGGATACAACCCAGAAATATAATTAATAATTACTAAAGTAGTATAGCAAAGTAATTAATAAAGTAGAGTATAAATGTTCTCTGCAGCAGAAGCAAACACAAGGTCTATCAAAATCAATTGGGAAATTAGGGTATCATGGCTACCTTATGACTAACTTTGTCTGGATCCAACCTGATATATTTTAATTCTTTTGCAAAGAGTACATCTGATCCGACCTAAAGCTTGCCATGTTTTAATAAATGAGGAGTTGGGAAAAATAAGTAGTAACTCTATGCCTCAAACATGAGGAAACTTTCATAGCAATCTCATGTCATCATAGTCAACAAACAGCGGCAAAAATAATAGTTGTCAACGAAAATACGAGCTCGTATTTCCAAATTGCATCTGACAACTTCAATAATATTGTGGGTATTAGTCAAGTTTTATCACAACTATGAAAGTTGGTTTCCCTTCAAGTGACTGTTGCTATAGTTTAAGTATTAAAGAAATGTAAGCAAAGACCAATAAATTGAATATTATCTCTTTTTTTCTAGGGCTTTGGTAGTCCTTCTGGTGAATATTGGCTGGGGAATGAGTTTATCTTTGCAATAACCACTAGTCAAAGACACTATTCTCTAAGAATTGAACTAATGGATTGGGAAGGAAGCCGGGCATATTCACAATACGATAGATTTTACATAGGAAATGAAAAGCAGAATTACAGGTGAGTCCAGATGTTTTTGTCACTGTGTGCATGCAATGAATTAGAAATTCACTAACCAAACATATACAATTGGAAGGTTTTAGTAGATGGAATATGAGAAAATATATGAAGCTCATTTACATGAATCAGACGATTCTGTATTGTCTACACTGACTGCCTAGGTACAAACTTATACTTGTTGACATATAAGATATCCATATACTATGGACATGTAAATATAAAGTGGTCATGTTTGACAAGGCACCCCCATTCTGCTGGTATAACGTTCTAGAGATATTTCCCACAACTACCTATGTTTACTTCAAAGTATGTCTCATTATGTTCAGTGGTGTTTACCTCCAGGTAGGTTTGCAGATCGTGTTCTTGCTAATAAAGAGTTAACTCAAACTTGTACCCTAAAAGAACTTAAGTGCTGGAATCAGCACTCTGAATTATAACGACTTTTCTTTTCTTTTCTTTTCTTTCATTCACTGGATATATTGTTGCACCTAAATCATGTCACTGAGTCAATTCCTTGGCTCAAAATATGAATCTTGGGACTCATAATGCTCACCTCTTTTTTTTATTTTTTATTTTTTTTAAGTTCAGAGTCTTTCTCTGGCTTGGATTGTAATCTGAACCAGAGAAGAACTCCTCCACACCACAAATCTTTCCACCATTCACCTATCTGGCAGCTGATTTTCTGGCACTTGCAGGGAGGCAATGAAAGAAGGAGGTGTCTCTGCCCCCCCATTCCACCTGGTGTATAGATCATTATTATGGCAGTGACGCAGATGCTAACAGACTGGGAAAGGTAATTTACCCAGGGACCTGCATTTCTGGGAGCTTCCTGTACCTGGTTGCTGCCATGACATTGTTCCCAGTGCCAGGGAAAAGCGGTGAAGGGTGTGTCAGAGATACAACTGTCCTTGCCTCTAGCGTTGGGGGGAGAAGAATAGAGTTGAGAGCTGATATTACCTTATTGCACATCCAGTTCCATCATCTGCAGTGCAACAAGGTTCAATTTGGTTTATAATCGGGTTTAGAAATCACCAAACTATCGAATTTTGACTTACCGTAATTTTATGCATATTTTGAAAATACTGGGGGGAAATAATAGTGGTAGAGTTTTTTTAAGCCATACAAGAAAATTCTGCTTACATCAGTTAAAACCCCAAAGATTAACATTTCCCAAGGTAGAAATAAGAGACTAGCTAGTGATCTAATAGCTGAGGTTAAGCTGCACAGTTCTTTCTCTAGCCAAGCTCAGTTTCTTATCTGTTGGAGCCAAGATCCAACAGTGATAGGGGAATCTCATGGACTTGATATACTGGTGCTTGTCTCCTTATTGCCCAGCTTGTCTATTACAATTTCAAAGTCTGTAAACTCACAAAATCTCATGGATAACTTTCTATTAACGCAAATAAAGGCAAAAGCGCCCTGTCTCTCAGCACCTGAATATAGCCTTATCTAGCCAAAGTCAGGCTACTTTCATTTTTCTAATGTTTCTTTATATGATAATTTCCATGTTTTTTGTGATCTTTCACACTCTGTAAAAGCCACTTCTGGAAAAGTAGCATCATCTAGTTTAACAATTATCTCCATGTTATTTGCGGCCAGAAAAAAATTCATTTGTTATCCTGTTAATCTGGAAAATCACAGGAGTTTTCAGTTGTAATTCCACATGATGAAATATGGGAACAGCATACTGTTCTTCCCTCCACATCAACCCAAAAGCCACAGTACCATAAGGCAACAGGTAATGCAGTGTGAAAGGAACATTAAAATCCAGAATAGAAGTGCTAGCTTTGTAATCAGGAAAAGTAGAGCAATGTCTGAATGCACCCTTAGTCTCAGATTTTAGTCTCAGTTCCTGGCAGTGCTTCCCCACCCTGGCACCTCTAATAATAATAATAATAATAATAATACCCTGCCCCTCTGGCTGGGTTTCCCCAGCCACTCTCGGCGGCTTCCAACAGAATATTAAAATACAATAATCTATTAAACATTAAAAGCTTCCCTAATCAGGGCTGCCTTCAGATGTCTTCTAAAAGTCTGGTAGTTGTTTTTCTCTTTGACATCTGGTGGAAGGGCATTCCACAGTGTGGGTGCCACTGCCGAGAAGGCCCTCTGCCTGGTTCCCTGTAACTTGGCTTCTCACAGCAAGGGAACCACCAGAAAGCCCTCGGCACTGGACCTCAGTTTCCGGGCAGAAAAATAGGGGTGGAGATGCTCCTTACGGTATACTGGACCGAGGCCGTTTAGGGCTTTAAAGGTCAGCACCAGTTTGTGGGCTGGTGCTCCCCTGTCCTGCTTTCTGCCTTTACTTACTTCTGAGAATCCCCAAACAAACATTTCAAGTCAAAATGCAAGCTGGCCAGCATGTGTGAGTCTACTCTTTTCTTTAGATCTATGATTCCACCTATCTCCTAGCCACGAGGGTGGGGGCAGTTCATCTTTCTCTTTCTTCCATCTGTCTCCTGTGTAGCGGCAGTGGGCTTTAAGGTTTCCAGCCAGGCTTCTACCATTGCACATGTGTGCATTTGCACGAGGGCCCTTCCGAGCTGCCCTAGCCATCTGCCTGAATCTAAGAGAACGAGGGAGGCGGGGGCACATTTATTTGACCTAGACCAGAACCAGGGGGGACGCCCAAACCAGCTAGGGAGGCAACTTGTTGTAGTTTTTAGCAGCTCTGTGGGCAGTGAACGCAGCTGTTGTCAAACCAGTAAGGAAAGGTAAAAGGTAAAGCACCCCTGGATGGTTAAATCCAGTCAAAGGTGACTATGGGGTTGTGACACTCATCTTGCTTTCAGACATGGCTAGCATGACTAAACCACTTCTGGCACAACGGAATGCTGTAATGGAAGCCAGAGTGCACAGAAACGCCATTTACCTTCCTGTCACAGTGGTACCTATTTATCTATATTCACTGGCGTGCTTTCGAACTGTTAGGTTGATAGGAGCTGGGACAGAGCAATGGGAGCTCACATCATCATGGGAATTTGAACCACTGACCTTCTGATTGGCAAGCCCAAGAGGTTCAGTGGTTTGGACCACAGCACCACCCACATCCCTAATGTCAAACCAGTATCTGTTCAGGGCTGCCCCGAGTCACATGGTGACTTATTGTAACATGTTGAGTTATGGTACCTGTTTTTCTTGGGGGGGAAACACTGGTTCTTGGCATCTTGAGTTAAAATGATCAGGTCACAGGTGAAAATTATAATTATCTGACATTCTGCGAAGACGCAGGCTGGTCAGAGTAGTTAGAACTAATCCTATGTGTCTATTTATATTGTGCCATCATGATACTTTACAAAGTAGCATAAGTCATACAGCAAGAGCTTTGTCCTTTACAGCTAACTGTCTAAATCACTGCTAAAATAATGAGGCGTGTTACCAATATGCAAATCTCTTCATCTTGGGAGATTTAAGCTTGGCCAATGTCCCCCCCCCCCAGTTTTTTTTTTAACCAAAGAATGTTGATCATCAAGGCATTAGTGTAGGAACTTGTTACAGCCTCGTGAATAAAAAGTCTCACTTCCCTTGCCAAATCTAGGATGGCTACAGAAGTTGGCTGTGGAACTGAGGAGGGAGCTAAATCTTAAGGCTGGATGCCAAACAGCTGGCCAACCTACCACAGAGCAGAGCGTGTCTGTGCCTTTGATGGCGCAACTTTCATTGGTTCGCATTGTGCATAGCAAGCCCAAGAAGTGCCTACTGAGCAAAAATCCACTGTTGCTTTCTTTTCGCATTGCTAGTTGCCGGTTGCGTCTACTCTGAATATCCCCCACGGGAAACAGACTCCTTTCAGCCAAGCAAATGATCTTTCTTGCTGATGAAACTATTAACAGCAACAATGATCCTGCATCCAATATTTCCTGTTAGCAAGAAAACACAGAGGAAGGATGCACTGCATTTTTAACTTCCAAATACTACCATTTCCATCAGCAATAATAAGAACCAGCAAAGAAACTGGTTTCCAAGTTGGCCTGGGCATCAGTTCAAGGAAACCTAAAATAGAAAACAGAAAACAACGTGAAGGAGTGGGAGGGGGGAAGCCTTGGGAGGTGGAAGAAGCGCTTTGTTTGCATTCAGCACAATAATGCCTTATCAAAGGACAAATAACGCTGCTCCAACATTTCCTTGCAATCACTGATGTAAGGATTCGGAGGCTATGGAGTGATATATTATGCCTGAGAAAATATGGAAAATCATTTTTCATGCGGCTCTACAAAACACTATAGAAAGTTTTGATTCAGCCTGGATCATTCCCAATTGGTGACTTCAGACATGTTCTGCTTATTCTCCTAACTGTTTGTATTTCCTTCTTTCTACTACTTTTTATTAGCCTAAAGGATCTCTGATTTGAAAGCAGTAATGCTGAACACATGTACATTAAAAAAATATCCTCTCTTTTCAGAACCATACAGCTGCGCTATATATATATATATATATATATATATATATTCTGAGAAGGCAGGATAAAATACATCCCAGATGGGTATAAAAAAGTGCGAAGGAGCTTAGAGTATTGGCTGATAATAAGTGGCATTTACTAATCAATGCTGAATGATGACCTAATTCCTGAATCTGAACGCAGCTCATCTGATTTATATGTTCTTTAATATTACTTTCTGGCAGTATTTGCATGCAGAAATGATTAAACGGGTTATCTCCAAGTATCCTTTTAGACCACAGGGTAACTCTATTCAAGTAAGGGCCGTTTAGATACACTTTTTAAATAATGGCAAAATATTCATATTTACATTCCAGGGGCCAAATTAATCTCTTTCTATATCTCTATGAGGAAATAAAGAGAGTTAAACAGAAGACTTTGTAATCATGGGGAATGCACATTTGTTTCTGGCATGCCTTGCATATACTTTATGAGCTTTCATGTGTGTTTGTTTCAAATTAGAATATTTGGCTGAAACAAATTTTCACATTAGCATTCACATTCATCAGATGTATTTGATTTAAATAGTATACACCAGAACATAAACTTCTCTCTGATTTTG